GTGGAGTTGGATATGTCATTACGCTTGTTGAGGTAGTGAGGGGTTATAACATATTAAAACACAGTTTATATTCAGGCGTGTTTCCATTGCGTGGTAGAGAATGTCCTGCTATTATTCAGGTCCCCCAAGAGAACACTGTTGATGAGATGCTCTTACAAACATACCTTGTGGAACATTTCTGTGTTATTATTGCACATGTCTAGTGAGGGGTTATTGCACAAATATTCTCACATTTCCGTATTTGCTATCAGTCTTACTGCGGCAGGGAAAAAGCTGTTGTAAAGTCTAGTTCTGTGTGTGATGATACTGTCCGCCCTGCTGTGTCTGAGGCTGTAGGTGCAGTTTTTGTGCCTGAGTAGAGAGTGAGCTGGGTGGCGTGGATCCCTGAGTATGTGCTCTGCCCTTTTACGATGGTGCTGTGTGTACGGTGTGTCTGTAGCAGGCAGTTCAGTCCCAATGATCCTCTTTGCGGTCTTTATGACCCTTTGAAGAGCCTTCCTCTTTGCCTGTGTGGTGTTACCATACCAGACTGTGATGCCAGTAGTGAGGATGCCAGGAACTTGTGGCTGTCAGCCCTCTCCACCTCAGTCCCTTTGATGGTCAGAGGCAGCAGAGGGGAGGGGTTCTTCCTGAAGTCTACTATTATTTCATTTGTCTTATTTATATTGAGGTGGAGGTCATTTATGTTGAGGATGAGGGTACTGATTGAACAGGATCTGCAAGCATTCTTCCTACAGTGATTTGGTCAACCAAGCTTTTTATTATTTCTTTAACCTTGAGTTTAATGTTAGTGAAGGCATTCAAGGTTTCATTGAGGTGTGTACTGTTTGAAGTTGATATGGTAATAAGTTCTAACCTGTAAAAAAATAGTGAATAGCTGTTGCTAGTGCAGTGGGTGCCACTAGGGGGCACTAAGGCACTGTGTCACAGGACTGCACAGAGGCAGCTCACATCTGGTACCACAGAGAGATTTTGTTGTTCCTCAGCCCTTCCGTTCTTCATTTCCAGTTTTTATTTATGTTTTTGTCCTAGGTGACGATGAAGACAGTTTAAAGCAGACGATGGCTCACAGCCTGGCTGGAGCATCCAGAGACACCACCTCCTCCTCCCCTCACTCCCTTGTGTCCAGTGGTCAGGATTGGCTCATCAACAAGCGTTGCTCCCACTCCTTCACATCAGGTTAGTTTGCAGTCATTAACCTATTGTGTGAACAAATAATGTCTGTGAATCATAAACAGCTGTTTTTCTCTCAGCAACTTATCAGAAGATCAAACCTGTTTTGCCTAACCGTGGAGGCCTGGAAAGGGGCTCCAACTACTGTGTGACTCTTGTGGTTGGAGACAGGTCATCGGACAGCAGATCCAGAAACTCTGAGCCTCCACTGCTGGCCATGGCCGGATTGCAGCAGGACACCTATCTGGACTCTGCTCTGAGGAACTACACCAGCCTGCCACGGGCACACAACAAGTCCGTCTTCAAGAAGTTCTTTGGGAAAAGGGAGCTCTGAGTTTTTAAAAAATATTACTAATAAAGGGGTTTTAACAAATAGTTTTTAATGTGCAGTGCACATATTAAGCAAAACAAATGCTATAAATCACCCCATGAGCTGAAAAGTCCTTTTAATAGATTCATTTCATGAGTGTTTCTATTGTTTTTCTTTATTTTTCTTCTTCAGGTGAAACAAACAATATTGTGTGAGTGTTCACTGCGTAGCTGTAGATTGGATTAATTGAAAAACATTTTTTTGCCAGTGTTATTTTGTATTTCTCTTGTAGTTTTTGGATTGTGGTGTTATTGGGTTAACAGTCTGTGTACACAGTAAATCTTCCTGCTCAGAGGAAATCAGTTTAGAAACCAGATTTAGACAATAATCCTAGTGATATCACCATGAGTCAGTTATGACTAAGTATTAATTTCTTGAACTCACGACATTCACTGTACCAGATCATGACAGCTCCCCTCCTTCACATGTACAGTGTGTGGCACAGCCTTATACAAAAAGAGCAGTTTGATACTGCTCGAGCTTGTTTGACTTTTTAAATATTAACCGTGGCTAAGATTATTCATAATAAAACTCAAAGAAAATAATGTTTTGCTACGAATATGCTTCATAACTGGAGTTATTTATTTTTCGTGCAGTTGTGATGTGATGAACTTGTCCGTTGTTCGAGCTTTGTTGTCATCCCTGGAGGCTTTGAATAGACAAGGGATTAGATGAATGGAGAGATTAAAGGCCAGGCCAGGCTCAGAAAATCTTCATATCATTAGTCTTCTTTTTGCATATTTAAGGCCTGCCACTATTCAAAGATATGGTTCGACAAATCTGTAATCAACATTGCATTTATGCTGAGCAACCAAACATTCTCTGCAGGCATCACGGCTGCATAATGACTCATATGCATAAAGAATTATCAAAGTGCTACTGTTTAGCATTGCAAAATATTCAGTGATTCCCTACAAGATGTCTAAGGGACAAATTAGTTTCCAGAGACAGGCAAACAGCAAATTGGTCTATGTGGAAATTATGAACAACTAGGGAAGAATATAATAATAATTCGTACCATGCACTGGTCTCAGACAACAATAGATGAATTGACGCAATATAGCTGCAGTGAAAAGTGCACCTTTCTCTCATTAACTACCACACTCAGAGTAGCATTATAATAGATGCAAAAAAAAGAGAACCAGAAGAAGAAAAACTGAGCATTGGCACCAACATTACACCACCTTTCCATTCACTGGGTAGTGCCAAAAATGTCACAGTGTGGTCTTGACATGTACATACACATACACAAATGCACACAGCAGCTACAGAGAGGTATGGAAATGGAAACAGTTTGAGAAGTTCTGTGTTTGTGGTTCACATTTGTCAAAAGCATCAAGCAGCGGTATTAATCATACCAGACCAGCAATCTGTAAATCATTATCAAGGCTGTATAGCGCTGAATGCTGCATGACCCAGCCTCTCACTGTACTGTGAAACACACCCTACATTTGTTCAGTTTAGATACAAAATTACCATAAAAGTCATGTTCATGTGCTGCTGCAGTGATGTATGTGTTATTAGTGTGCTCCATGCAGGACAAGTTAATGATCCACAGTCACATAGAGATTGTAAAATTCACATAAGTACATATGGCATCAATTTTCTTGATAAGCATAGACTACCAATATTTGGGGTTTTCTCACAACAGTAAAGACGGTTTTTGTGAGTTTTTCCTCTCCGTCAAGTTTGGAATGACAGCTGCATCCAGTGCCCTGAGCAATGCAGCAACGCCCAATAGATTGATCACCATGCCCCCGATCTTTGTGTCCTCTCTGTGCACTTTGACCTCCATAGCATCCACTGACAGCTCCAACTGTTTCCTTCACAGCTCTGGGGGTTGCAACCCTCCCCTGCAGAGACAGTGGTGTACTCATTGCATGTGTGTCTGTGTGTCACCAGACTCTGGAGGCTTCCTCTGTGTGGGATTATATGACGAGGCACTGGATATACGCACCACAAAGCACAACACCCACGTACTTCTGCACACTTCGGTTGTTGCATTTCCCCACTCTAACCACTAATAACAGCCAACATGACATAACCCTCCCAAAGGTGAGGTAGAGTCCAGGTTTTGTTATGTAGCCAAGTAAAGAGTGACTCACAGGGTTACCGCAGTCAGACACAGAGATCCGGAGATCACAAGGGAGTGTAACAGGAGAGGGTTGTCCTCAGGCCCTGCTGTTGATGAGAAATGCTCCTTGTGCCTCTGGAAGGATGCATGACCCTTTACACATCATAGATTTTCTGCAAAGAATACATTAGTGGCATCTGTTTAGCATCACAGAAGCCATAAGCCCAGGATTATGGATTTATATTAGTATTTTCAGGGAAAGAATACATGCCTTCCATTTTTATTTAGGTAAAGGAAAAGATGTCCTCTTTTATTTTCTTTCATGTGCTTCTCTGAGCTTTGATGCCAAGCTCAAAAGATTGGCCTGTAGTGGGGTGCACTAGTGGCTCTGACATAGGCTTTGAAACCCAACACTGTCTCCCTCCAGCAACCCGGGGAGCCCATGAAAGTGATGTAATGGGAAGAGTGGCAATGAGCAGTTTGGTGGAATTGTGGTTAGGAACCTAAATCAAATGGCTTCATTTCCACTGGCTTCAGATCTCACCTGTCAAGACCAGTGGACATTAGTTACACACATTAGCGCAATCAGCTGAATTAAAGCTCTATTATAGCTGTCTGGGAAGATGTCTGAAATCACAGTGTCTGGTTAGTGGTACTTTGTCAGCCGTGCAAAGCCTTGTGGCAAAAACTGTGAGCTCACACACCCAGTCCATGCCGAGAAATGACCTTGATTTAAGGGTGTGTTGTTAAGCACTTACCATGTGCAGGCTTTCGCTCTGAGAAATGTGACTTCACAGATGCTAAGAAGCTTTAACTGCACATCAATAAATCATACAATCATCATGGGAAATAAACAGTGAATGTGTCCAGCTTCTGAGAAGATGGAGCAGGCTTTTTGCGTGTCTTGCACATGGTTTTTGAACAATATGTCAGATTTTCATCCACAGGGTTTGGCATTATATCATATACAGCTGTCATTGTGCCCCCTGGGCTGGTACAACAAAGTGCAATAACTGGAGAGAAATTTCTTCATTCAAGCACCAGCTTCTCATCAGCCACCCACCTCCACCCCTCCCCACGCCAACCAGTAAGCTCAGTTTTGTCCTGGATTGTTGGTAAGCTCCTTACATTTCTATATCCTCCGTGTCTAGAAGGACAAAGGGTGCTGGGTGCCAGACAGACATCTGTCCTGCAGATAAGGCTGTGAATGCCTCTCTGTGATATGGTTATTAATTCACTTCATAGTCATTATCGCAATCTAATGTAAAATGTAAAACATATAAAACATATAACACATTAAATCTCCTGACTGGTGATCCAATTGTTACAGTTGCACAGTGCTTATTTATGAAAATCCATAGTGTTCACAATGTGAAACAGCAAGCATGATGACCACATCTGGATCAGATTACTATAAAATACAATAATGAAATACAGATATACAGGGACAGGGTTTCTCTTCAAGAACAACAACAAAATCTCTGGCATGATTTTTGAATTCTTTGCTACTGTACTATGGGTATGAAACATTTCATACTCACCAAGACACTTTCTGCTAAATATTTCAAACATTTCCTTTTGCTATTTCATAATTTAGCCATTAGTTTCACATAGTTATTTTACATGTCTGTACACACACCACTGATCCATCACCATGTATCTGTTAATGTTGGTTATCTGTTCCAAAATGCTTTTGAAACAAAAATAATTACTATTTGCTAATTCTAGGCCACTTAAGACAAGGATGACTGGTTTCTAAGATACGGTACTGGAAATGTAGGAATATTGCTTAAAAATGACAGAAGCAAAGCTTGCTGAGCAAAACCAGAAACTGTAACTAAAACTTACCAACTTACTTTTAATACAAGCTTCTTGGGGGAAATATTTTGACCTGCTATGTATTCTACTGTATATCTTAATATTCAGTCAGTATTTTCAATGGTCATACTTGAATTCAGCACCTCAAAATCCATAAAAATAAACACATTTCAATTCAGAAGGAGAGAACTTTCTTAAAAAAAATTGTAGAACAGAACTCTTTGTTGGAGCAAATAGCTGGAAAGCTTAGTTTTTATCCATCACTTTAAGTTGTTACAACTTCCCTGCTTCTTTGCTACCTTTCACACACACTGTCTTAATACATGATGTTCAAGTGTTACAGCTGAATCAATGTGAGAATTTTTTTTTTCCAAATAGAGGATGAATATTTTAAATAAAAAAAACAGGATTTCATGTGTTTTGTTTTTCTAAATTGTTGAGCTTCTGTACAGTATTTCCTCGTACCCTCTCTGGCAACTGCAAACATACCCCTGGCTGAGAATGTAAGGAACGCATATGTCCGTAATATCACAATATGGTTTCTAATTACGCCATAACACACCAAATGCATCCACACATACCTTACACTGGCATGGTCGTTGTCGCTCATACATAACCCTGCCCAGGGTGCGGAGGATCGCCTTCCAAACAGAAGAGCCAGCTCCCTTGCTAGTACTGCTTGGCTTGCCCTACAATGAACCATACCATCAACTCTAATTGCCAGTTAAGTTTCTTGCCTACAACAACAATGCAGCACCATATTTTTGTCAGTTAAGAAAAAAAAACTGCATTGATGTCGACTTTGAAGCCAATTCAGTGACTGTCTGTGCCAGTTTGTCCTGAGGTGCGTCAGTGGCGGCCACAGAACAGATGCTGGCACAGCAGCATATCTGACGCAGATCACAGCTGGCAGCTCTCTCTGCAGCCAGCTTGACAGGTTACAGTGGTTCTACAAGCAGCATTCAAACAACAAGCCAAAAAGCCTTTCATGTATTTTCACTTTGAAATGACCTGAAGATGCTTTGGTGTTGAAACAAATACCTTTGCCAGAGGGTTTCTACCAAAAACTTTTGATACAACTGCCAGCCTCAGTCAATGAAAATCCACTTGCAGCGAGTATACAGTATGTCTGATCTAACCTGCTAATAAACCTGGACTATTCTTGAGCTACTTTAGTCTTACCTACTGTATACAGACGCAGTAAAGCAAAAAGCCAGCCACTGTCTAAAACAAGTGCATATCTGGCAGAAAATATTAATGTAGTAGTTGTTCATTGACAGTCACAAAGAGCTTCACATGTCCTTAAGACACCACAGAACTCCTATATACTGTGGTACTATTTATCATTCATTGAAAACTAAATGAACATAGATAGAAACTTAATTACCTCCTGGGATGGAGCAGAAAATCTCTGCCACAAAAGTGAGTACCGTAATATTTATTTGTGTTGCTAAATGTGAAAACAATGAAGCTCAGGATCAGGATGAAAACCTTTAAATAGTATAAATGAATACAAGAGAATGTCACTGTTTATTTTTCTCTGTTTTATGCTAGAGGATGAGTAAATCAAGAAAGGACTGGACATAGTTACAATGATAATTATTGAATTTCAGCAAGCACATCCTTGGGTAGACAAGACAAACACAGAGGAGGCTCATTAAGCAAAGAACCAAACGAATGAACAGAGACTTCTTTTATTGTCCAATTATAGAAAAAAAACAACACCACTTGCCCTTATGAACAAGTTAACATTATATGCTAATGAGAAATGTCTGCTGGAGTCTCTGTAAAACCAACAGCTAAAATAAAATAAAATACGGGGTATCCAGACACTAACTGAACAGTTCTCCTGCTGTTTTACATTTCACAATCAATTATTCAGCATGCAATCCATTTTGAGGCTGCATGAGAATGAAAAAATGATTTGTGTACATAAACACACCCCCACGACACACTAACTCTTCCAGCAGCTCGGATGGCCTTCAGGTTAGGTGACAGCCCTGTTATGAAGTGTGTGTACATCCACTGAATAGTCTGGCTGTGTACTGTATATGCAGTGACAAACATGAAACCTGTCAGAAAAATACACCAAATGCAGTCTTTTCCCCCATTCTAGCAGCTCTGAATCGGCACATCAGGTTGTGTGTTTTAGACATTCCTGTAGTGTTGCTAAAATATCTTGTAGAATCGCATTTCTGTTTTCCTTAGAAACCTAAGTGGGAAAAGATAGAAGCAAAAATCACTAAACTTGATAAACAGCCTGCAGATAATGACATTTATACAGCCAGATGAATAACACAAAAACTGTGTTGACCGCCTTGTTTCGTAGAACACATCTGCCAGATATGTTCATACTGACTCATAATATTGTATGATGTAATGACTTCAATCCAGCACAGTAAGCATTTTACATTACAATATCAATAACTGAGTCTTGTGTGATTAATTATTTTGACATTTGAAACCACCCTTTGTTGTTTAATCAGTCAAGCACGAATCAGAGTTAATCCTGCTATAGGAGAGGGATAATGCAGAGCATGCTCTTTCTGCATTAGTGAGCAGACAGACTGCCCAAATGGATACATTGCAAATAACATCCTATAGCTCTTAAACTGACCTGAAATAGCTATATATATGGCTTTCGGAGTGTGTGCTGGTATTTGTACTCACAGTGAAGACCTTGACATCGCCCCTGGTCCGCACCTCTTCCACGAGACCCAGTGGTTTACCCTTGGGGATGGGGATGGTGCCCAGGATGGTGCAGGAAGAGCTATCTAAAGTCTGCCTCACCGCCCTGATGAACGACTGGCTGAAGAGCTCCATTTTGCCAATCTCGTCAATGACAAACACCTTCCTGCTGCCTCCATCTGTTGATGCTGCCTGGAGGTGAGAGATGCATAAATGTATGACTGATGTTAGTTACAATTCAGAAATAAACTGCAACCAGTTGAGTTTGGACAATTATTGATAAATAGATCATGGTACTGTCTCATCTATGTGAATTGCACTGAGTGATGCCTTAAGATGAAAGCGGGATATGTCCCACCAGGGAAGAGACACCTCCCTTTACAACACACGTGTAGGTGCACTCCAGGCTCACTTTACATGCCAGATGAATTATGGTCAGTGATAGCCAGACGGCACCATGAACACTAAAAATGTCAGTCTGGAATTTATGTGCTTGCAAGCTTCCAATTATTCCATCAGTTCTGAGAAAATTAAAGGTTTGATGATTTGTTAAAGTGGGGAGAACGGGAGTATTTTGTTTCCTGTGATCGACTGATGAGGGTGAGTTTACAAAAGCAGCCTTACAGTTCTGAAGAGGGGGAGAGCCAGGTTTTCAAATGAAGGCAAGTCAACCACATATTGTCCAACTGTGTATTCCCGTTTGCCATGAGACATTTAAATAAAAAAAGAAAGGGGGGGGGGGGGGGTTGTCAAAACAAAGCAACAGATACGAGAGCAGGGTGGGCTGATTTGGATAGGATGACAACCCTGCTACCTGATTCTGGACAGGTGGCCCCTCTCTCCTTTTACTGTGACCACATCAAAGCCAACTCTCCGGCCTCCCTCCCTGACCTCCTCTGTGTAAAACCCCTCAACTCCCACTCCTGATGACACTAAAGCTTCACAGGCCTTCTGGACCAGAGTGGTTTTCCCCACACCTGTAAGCAATTCAAGAGAAAAGAGTAAAATAACTGCAGTGTCTCTTTTCAACACTGGGGTACATTGCCTTACAGCTAAATGTTGTGACAAGCTTAATCCATGCATTACTGATGTTGGTATCCTTATTCCTAAATCAGTGGTGTCCCTCTACATAATGTACTTGATCTATAAAGACCAAAAAGAAATATAAACAGTCAAAGAAGAGATGCAAGCGTTATTTTGTGGCCCTTTCATTCAGGAGGTGGGTGTCAATTTTCTCACAACCAGTGCACTTATGAACCAATACACGATGGAAAAAGAATGATTATGACCACAACCTGTCAACATAATCTTTAAATATTGCACGGACATTTCCTCTGTCTTTGGAGGATGTTATAGAAATAGAATTATTTCATAAAATATTACAAGTATAACTAATTCGATACTACCTGAACAAAACTAGCTAAGACAAATTAAGACAAGCTAACTATCATCATACCCAACGCTAACATCTGCTGACTGAAGACTGTTGGACGACTGGTTTATATTTATAGAGACTTAAATTCAACAGCACGGCGCATAATAGCTACAGTTTTACCTGGTGGTCCTGTCAAGAAAACGTGTTTGAACATTTCAGCTCAGTACTTCATATGTTGTTCTTCTTCTTCTTCTTCTTCTTCATATGGTGTTTATTGGCGTTTTGCAAGCCAACCTAGGCCACCTGCTGGGCTGGAGTGTAGAATGATAATCTACTTCATGTTGCTGCAGCTCTTCCGTACACATCGATTTAACGCATGCGCAATGGCAAACAGGAAGTATTTTATAAATGTCACCAGGATTTAGGTTATTTCACGATCAAATTCGATATTTGTCTTTATCTCTCTTTAACACTGTTTGAACAGTGTCTAATGAATGGCATTCAGTTATTTCTTTTAAAAAATGCATTAGTCAGTGGAAACACTGAAACATTCCTGTTTACTTGTAAATGACAAATTAGCAACCATGCTAGAAGTAATTATTAAAGCCCTGTATTTAAAATTTTACTTAAGTAAAAACTAAAAATTTGCTATGAACAAAATGTGCAATATCAAAAGTAAAAAGACTCATAACTGTATTTTTATAGACCTTCAGTATATTGTTTTCTTAGATTACAATTTTTTTATTTAAATGTTAAGTACCAGGTGGAGCTAAATATAACTACTTGTGTATTTTTATGTAATCTGCTGTTTAAAAATGTATTATATTTTATATGCTTAATATAGCTTTGAAAAGTCTCAATCTGAAAAGAAACCAGTAAATACAAGTTTGGTAAATCTAGCATAGTAAAAAGTAAAAACATTACCAAGTGAAATTTATCAGAATGTAATTATAATGCAGCATAAAATTAAACAACCACAAATACCTCTGAACTATACTTGACTATATATACTTCATAAATGTGTGTATGTATCTAAAAGCCCATAATGGCTTAAAATTCAAAAATGGAAAGGAAAATCTAAACTGCATTATCATTCAAAACACACTGTACCGGTCTTAAAATAAATGGAATATCTGTCTTTGCTTAGGTATAAAATAAGAGCAAGGGTAAAATGCAAAATAGCAGGTGGTATTTAAAGGAAATGGTCTGCAACCAGAAGATACCTTAGGAGTAGTGAGACATTTTCAGTTTGTGACAATTTTACTTGAAACAAGAGCTTATGTCACACGATTTGCATAAGTTATGTACGAAGAGAGATTTTCCATCCTCTTATATGCTACCAAAAGACTTATAGCCCAACACTTCATGCAAATGTCCAGCAGTAATGTATTAACTGGGTGATTAAGATGTAAATTAAAAACATTACTTCCACAAAAGCTTGTCTTTATTCAAAAATATTGTCAGATATTATAGCTGAAATGAAAACACATTAAACATTTTCTTGATTTGTTCAGTACACTACTCCTAATCTGTTTCACTGGGTTAAGGGACATAGTGTAGTGTATCCCTAATGTGACTATAAAGTGGGGTTTTATGTATTTTTTCTTTACATAGTGTAACCAGGAAGTTTAGTGGCCACTAGCTCAGAAATATGTTGATACTCCTTTCTGAAATCCAGAGATCCAAGATCATCCTCCAATTCCTCTGCCTCCTGTGGTTCAAAGGAGGATACGGATTCTGCTGAAAATCCTTGAACTGGTCTGCTGGTCTTGTTTGACTCACTCCTTTCGCCTCTGGATGATATGAACCTCTCTACTCCAGAGGACTTTTCTGTTCTGCTGCATTCTATTATCTGTTTTCTAGAGCTTATGGTTGGTGAGGCAGCTGACCCTTCTCTGTCACCATCGTTGGAGGAAAAGCTGAAGGCTTGAGGTCGGGTGATGTACGTGGCCCTCAGAGTCCGATGTGGAGAGCTGGGGGCTTTGATGGGCACAGGGAGGACTGTTCTCTTTCGGACAGACTCAGAGCCGGAGTCAGGGTTGCTGAAGTTGCAGTGAGGAGGAAACTTTGGAGTCATGGCTCTAAAGGGCTCAGGGCTACTCAGAGGGTCAGGAGAGCAGGCATCACTGGGTTCAAGACTGTTAAAGTCATCGGTGTAGTCTGCTTCCTCATTTCCTGCCCTGCTGGAGTCGGAAAATGAAGACTTGGGGCTGCTGTGTTTGCTACTCCCAGAAGATTCAGTTTTCGCTCTGTGCATGTCAGATTCACACTGTGATTGATCTAATTCACTGTGATGCTCATCCTCGTCTGTGTTTCTAGCAGTGCTGTCACTATCCACGGTGGGGATGTGAATATATTTCAAGTCTCTTTCAGAAAAGGAAGGGTGTTCTGATATTCTCAGAGAGTCTCTGTCTTGCTTACCATACCTGTTTTTCGGTTTTAATGTAACTGCTTCTTGTTGCGCAGAGTCCACCTTGATGTTTTGCATCATAGTCTCAATATTTTCATTGACACTGGAGCTCTGATTTAATGCTGATTTCCTTTTGTTGCACTTCATGATTTTATTACTTGACTTTGTCTTTCCTTTCACCATACTAGACTGTGTTTCATGCTGTATTATTTCCATGCATTCATAACGTTTTGGTTTAAGAGAAGCAATTTGCTTCAGCCTTAGGTTAAATGTTTTTGTTGTTCCATATACAAACTTCTTCCTGGGAGATTTACTGGAGCTCTTACTCTCAGTCAAAGTCTCTTCTTGTTTGTTTTTCTTTTTTTCAGACACAGGCCTAGCTATTGGTGTACAACAGTTTCTAGGGGCATGTGAATGTTTAAAATGGGGACTGGTCCCCTGTATGCTTTTCTGCAATGATTTAGCATGAGCACTTTGTGGTATGCTTCCATGCCCAGCTGAAGGTTCTGTGGAAGCAGGCCTGTAAATCCAAGCTAAATTTGGATGAACAGACAATAGCTGGTGTGGGTTCTGGTTATATAACTGTGAGAGTTCAACAAGCAGAGCATTTATTAGAGGCAAATGTTGTAAAGCTTCCCCAAGGCCATTAGGACTCCCCCCACTTGTTTCTTGGTTACTTGACATTTTTGCACTGTGTCTCACTTTCTGGTGCATCACTGTGAAACTTGGGCCTTCAATGTCATTTTCAGTTGTCTCATCCTCAGAGCACAAGTCTTTAAATGTAAAAGCTTCTGAGTCTAGTTTGGAAAATTTGTAATCCCCTCCTTTGTTTTTGCTTTTTTCCTCTGCAGAATTACTATAGTAAAGATGTGGGGGACAGAATATTGTTAAATCCTCCTCAAAAATGTTTTCTGTTTCTTGAAGTGTTTGAGGGATTTGGCTTTTTGGTCTGTACTCAGTGGCAACACACACAGTATCGCCACCCGGCTCTTCATTTATAAAAATTTTCGCATTAGTTGGTCCATTGGTTTGGTTGTTGTCCCTAATATCAGACTTGTCCAGTGTGGGTGAATGAACATCCCCACACTCAAGAAACAATGAGTCTGTAGATACACTTTTCTCCTTGATGCTTTCTTGTACATGGTGTCCTTCATGTAGTCTGGTGTGTTTAGGATCCCTGCCATCTGTGATATGTGGGAGTAAACTAGCCCCCAGACTTAGCAATTTATAACTCAAGGAAAGTGATCCAATTTTCTCTCCAGAGAGGCTGCATATACTAACAAGTCCCCTTTCTCCATGTGAAGAGGGAGATGAAATACCATGTTCAGCTACATCCTGTCTGATTCTGTCCATCACTTTAGCCAGTGATATCAGGGAGGAGCCAAGTAATCTGGGGATCTCCTCTTTCACATCCAACACCATAGCATAGAGAGGGGTGTTACACAGATGGCTATGCAGTGAGTCCAGATTCATTTTGAAGAAACAAGACTTGCCTCTGTTAAAGGTGTAATCTCCCCATTGAATATTTTCATCTTGTTCTTGGTGCTTAATATCATCACTTCTCTGTTGTGGCTGATAAATCAGCAGCGTTGGAAAATCCAGCAGTCGTACTCCAAGAGCCAGCTCCCCCGAAGCTTTCTTTACTTTCTCGATTCGGATATATTCCACCAAAAGTTCAAATGAAAAAAGTGTCTCGAGATTATCGGTGATCTGTCGTTCTGACATTGTGAAAGCTGTGGCTAAAATAAAACCATCCGGATAACGAACAAAATGTTAGCTAATCCACAAACAAGCCACGGTTTTTAGCTTACATTGGCGCCATGGAAACATAACTGTCGCGAGCAATTTACGTCATAGTATTCTAGGGATACTTGGGAAATGTGGTTTTAGGGGGTCTTTAGATTATTGCATTAATTTAAAATCGACAAAATTATGAGAAATTTTTGCTTACTCTTGATTTTTGTTTCTTTTTGTTAACATAAATTTATTATAATATCTGACAAGTCAAGCAATTATGGAGGTATGCTTCCAAATGTAAAAAAAAAAAATAAATTAACTGGAAAATTAAATTAGCAACTGCAGAATAACACCTTACAGCTAAATAGAAGAAAACACTACACATTACAAGCATAGGTCGAAAGGATAATCCATTCAGGCAGAGTGTTTGAGAGCTACTTTTCTGTAGTTCACCAGACGGTGCCACTGCTGGGCTTTTGGGCCTTGCAGACTGGAATAGTCTTGTGGTAAATGGAAACAATGTCATCGTGCTTAGTTTATGTTGTACGTTCGTTATTCCCTTTTAGCCAGTAACGGATGTTCAGTCTCTCTTCTATATCAACCCACAAAACTGATAAAGGTTTGTGAGAGCAGGCAGGAATGAAAGGCAGTTTCTCCCTGAGTCGTCGGGTGGGCGGAGTGTTATTCCTTGCGTGTTGTCATCACGGAGGTAGGTGCTGGATGGGTATCGCTATGGTCTGTGCAACTTCAGTCTGGAGACTGAGACAGAAAGAGTAAGGTGTGAGATCGACTAACACAGATACAACCGATTTTACAATATAAGGATAACTAACAACGTTAACATTCTCGCAAACCTGGACAGGACATCGCTCACGTTGCAAGGTAAGGACCCAAGCGTCTTTTTCGCCATCTAAACCGTTCAACAAAGTAAAAAGTAGGGCTGTAGCTGGAAGTGAAGAGCGCTACCCACAGCGAGAGTAGCGAACGGTGTAGAAACTCATTGGCATATCGATGGTAATAGTGAACACAAAGGATAAAGTTGGCTACTTTCATCTGGCAAATTAGATGTAATTCGAGCGAGAAACAAAAGGAGATGTCGGCTATAGTGTTTCAGCTGAAGCCTACCCATATCCTATATTTGTCTCTTCATAAAGTAAGTGTGTGGTATGAGCTTGGTGCTGTTGACCTGACTCCCGTGTGTTTGTTTATTTAGCAATGAGCATGTTAGATCTAATTCGGTCTAAAATGTAATGTTATGTGTATATTTCTAAAGGTATACCATGTGATCACTTAGGTTTCTAAAGGTAATTTTTTACTGTTAATGATATTATTACATGTTGGTGCCATTTTTAGGTGCTGGGTGGGAGTCGGGGTCACTTAACTGGATTTGCACTGAAATGTTTTTGAATGAATTTGTTTAGTGGAGTGTTTCCATAAAAACTGTGGGGGGCGATAAAGTCATCGTTGTCCAAATGCTAATAAAGCCTTCACATGTCCGATGCAGGTGAAGAGCATAGAGTATAGTCCATATTCAATGGTTCACACCAACCAGCGCTATCACTCTCTCTCACACTGTGATTTACTGTTGGATTATATGATTGTCTGGGGCCTTTTTGCAGCAGTGGAAGCTTGTCAGTATGTCCAGACAAAGAACAGCTGCCCCTAACAAACTTGTTTGGATTCTCCATAAATAATATCTGGCAGTCTGCTTGTATACAACATGTACAGTCTTGTTTATTACTGCTCTTGTAGCCAATGTACAGTACCCTCCACTGGGAGAGTAAACAAGTGAAATGTTTGTCCTCCAGCCATATCCTTTACTGTCTTCCTGCAGGAAGTTTATCCTCCACAATAACTAAATTCCTATTAAAGGGAAACAAGTAGGGTCAGGCCTCTGCTGGTGGCTAGCTGCAGACACAACAGCTAGGTGCTCTGGACTGTAAATGTAAGTTTCCATTGCTTAATGTCCTTTTGGCTTCAGTTCCCATCAGAGCAGATCAAGCATAAAGAGTCCTCCACTCCTGAATTGTAAAAATCAATAAGACACCGTTATTTTTCACTGAATTTTATATCTGGGAAAACTGGTTTTCCCATCAGGCTGTGCTGAACTACAGAGGCACAGTAGTTTAAGATGGCTCCAGTATGTTCAGTGTCTGGTATAACATTTAACAAATTTCCCTTTAACATCAAAAATGTCTGGCCTAACTCCAGCTGTCAGAGACCTTTACATCAGGAACTTTTCAAGAAACCACTCTCCTTAATGAACATAAATACTTCTGTAGTGATGTGTGAATAATTAGCTATTATTGTGCACAAAAGGTCAAATCAACCCTATTAGACTGCTAATTTTCTTTGTCATCAGACAAATATTTCTATTATTTAAACAATTTTTAAGATTTAGTTTGGATTCATGTCTTTCCTCATCTTATATGATTTTTGTTTTAATTTGGAGTTTCATTTGATTCTTGCCTTTTTGAATTTTCTTTTGGAAAGTTTGTGCTTCTGTTACCCGACTGAAGGGAAGGTGGGGTTTGTTCCAGATAGATGATTAAAGAAACAACTGTAGCTGAAAATGATGCTGCTTAGGTGCCTCATCTCACCAACTACAATCGGCACACTCCTAGAGGAGACCTACTCAATGTGGCAGCTATGACAGTGCCAAGGAAAAGCTTTCAATCTTAGTTTCAATAGAGATCTGTTGCATTCTACCATAGGGTGCAATGAGGGCTCTGAAGAAGAAATATGTTCCCATCTATTTCTAAAAGCACCTTCTGCATGACTAACCAGACAATGGGTAATTGAGCCAGATAGATATGTCTTTCAAAATGAAGTTATTTGCACAATGTGTGCTTGGCTGAACAATAAGGAACCTGTCAAGTGTGGCAGAGAAACAGCTTCCTGCGACATGCCCACAGGCCATATCCAGTTGTTGTCATTGCAGAGCTGTTTAGGATGTCTCCTGGCCTAGTGGGCATGGAGACACCCCACTCGAGTTACAGCTGCTGTGCTGTGTGTGTCACACGAATTGCCTATAAATATATTATCATGACACACAGCTGTTTGGGGATTTTCCTTAGGTTTGGGAAATTACTGAACACTGACTGATTTCAGTCTTCTTGTTACACCACTCCTCCCAGTGTGCCCAGCACTGCCTGGTCTTCTGGTCTTTCCCCTTGTGTGTCTCTTTTACCATGATGCTTTAGTACCGTGTGCTGACTAGTCATGATTTGAAGAACAGTAGAAGGAAAAGGCTGCTGAAATACTTGCGTTTGACGTTTGTCATGGCGATACATTTTGCCCTTATTGTACCATAGAAGCTTTCCGAAGTGGCGCCCCCAGTTCCAGCCCCAGGCATGTGAAGAGGATCAGGAACCTGGTCTGGGCTATGCCGGCTGACCAGCTGGTCTTCTGGCTAGCTGACTTGCCAGGATTCACAATAGGCCTCCCCAACCAAATCTTGTTGCTTCAAAACTAACCAACCATCAGACAGGGGATCACACGCTACCGACTCCTGTTGTGAGAGCTAGACTTTCTCTCTGTCTTTTTATCAGCCTTTGTTGTGATTCCAGTCTGGATTTATGGAGGGATTTCAGCCAACTCATCATGGTCAGGCAAAGCGCAGATGGCGTCATTAGGTTAATTTTTTTTTTTTTTAATAAATCCCCTCTTCCACTAGGGGTCTGTTTGTGATGAGTGTGAGTGGTTTACTGAGCTTTCATAATGTGTACAGTACAGACCATGACTGGAAATAGCTCTGTCCTTTCATGTGGGACGTCAATGAGGTTTGTAATATCAATGATCACGTAAGAGCCCCAGAGCTGTCTGCCTCATCAGTGCCTGCAATGACTCCCTTTAGTTTGGGATAAAAAAAATAATAGCTTAAACTTTCCATTTGATTATCTGAGCAGTCTTGAAACATATTTATCATAGAATCTTGTCACTGTCACTATATCAGGGTCAGCATGTTGGATTGTTCATCATTTTTGTCTGTGACTTCTCATGTGTAATCAGTGTTATGGCATTAAGACAGCACGTTTAACAACTTGCTCAGGCGCTGGCTTATGTCAGCATGCATCTCAGTGCATGGACAGATGTAATGCTTGCCTTTAAAGGTGTTTTTACTAAGAGATTTCTTTATTGTACTTTACATGTTGTTTAAACAGAGGAATGGGACATGGCTAGTTTTTCAGAAGCAGATATTAATGGTATAAGCTGTTGACTTAAAATGACTGTTCCAGCAGCCCATCGCTTGCGTCCTGTGCATCCTGATTCTTTTCTGCTCTTTTATGTCCCACTTGCTTGCCACTCCTTCAGTGACCTGCTGTCATACTAGACACATCTGAGTGAAAAAGCACTGCTAAGGCTGGAGGGGAAGCTGCTGGATAGAACAGTTAGTATAATAGCAGAAGTCAGATGCTGATTTTGTCACTGCTGGTGAAGACCCTGTCAGCCTCTGGGGCCACAAAGCTGGGCCTCTGAAGGTCAAAGGAGGAGGTGGGATGTAGGGGCGGGGGGAGGTTAAAGGTTTGAACCTTATGATGACCACCGCTGCCATCATATGACTAGCTTGGACCTTAGCCCTTTGAAAGTCCAGGTGATTTTTCAGGACTAAGCCCCATCCTACACGCACAACATTTGATCTTGACTTACAGTTGTAACTGTAAGATATTTCCCATCTGAAAGAAAAACACGAATCCTCAAGCATCATCATATCAAAGATTTTGAAAGTGAAGGTTCTTGTTGCCATATACACACCTCACCCCACTGGTTATTCATACTGTGTTAAATAATGGTGCATTTATACCTGCAGCTCAATCATGATGATGAACAGAAAAATGGAGGCAAACCACAGGCTTTTAGTATTTGCACCAGCTTTATTAGTTTTGTTCCTACTGTGAATGCACAACAGTTTTAATTAGACTTTTCTTGTCTTTTTCTACAAATTCTAGCCAGTGGATATAAGAAGATGTGAGCAGGAGCCCATCACGCCTTGTGTCATCAAGCCAGACCTTTAACATTGGCACTTAAAAAAAACATGTTCCTGCATTATGGATTTGTGATATTCATGTTTATAGGAAAATACATCTTGCCAAGATGACTTGTCTTGACATGTCTTCCCTCAGGGACTCATTAGTGTCCATATCAGGAATGTTGTGGAAAAGGCCACTGAAAGTTGCTGAGCCTCTCGATGTGTTTTGTCTACGTCTGTCACTGGGCCACAATGGACAGAATGAGTACTGGCGAGTCATTAACCTGATGG